CTTTACAGCGTTCATGGTCCTGTAGTCTGTCCCGTGACCATGAACGACATTGAGTAGTTCCTTGATATTTCTGGACCAATACCAATAAATTTGATTTGAAACCACCTCAAAAGTATACCTTTTCAAAATAAAATTATCAGGGAAATAAAAACATACATAATACACAAATGTATAATCGAAGATTTGACCTAATTTTTTGAATTGAAAAATCAATAGCATTGCTTATCTTGAGCACACACAGTGTTTACTGATGCTTACCTACCCTCGCTTGTTGAATGACTCCTCCACCGGAGCGAAGTACTCTCCGGGCGAGCATGGACCCCGGTCGAATAGCTTGTAGCAGGTCGTGGAGTTCGGCAGCTGGGCTGTTCCCGGCGGACATTTGCACTCGGCCACCGTCCTCCCGCCCCAGCGACCTGGACTCAGCTCCTGCGTCTCCGAGCATGGGTACCCCTTCTGGAATCCGATCGAAATGAGCACTATAGCGTTCGTTGACCTTCGCCACAACACCGCCTGATGGTATGTGATCGTGAATGACAGAAAACGATGAGCCACGCGAATTGTAAAACCGTCTGAAGTCTTTATACACATAATACATACTTCAGAAACTTAACGAGGGCAACATATTTCGATCAATTTGTAAACGATTACACAAAGACGTACAAATAACGTTTTACTATACAATAGAAAAATTAAACTAAAGAAATGGAGGTTGATAGATTTAACTTATTTTTATTTCCAATAATTACTTCGGGAAAACTTTACCTGTAAAAAGAGAGAACGCTTGAAACAATTCATATAACCCTTAATGTCAAAAACACCCGTGGTAGGTCAGAATATATTAGCTATAGGAAACCGTTCGTCGTAACTATTTGCTTGAAGATAAATAATACTTCAGTTACATTTCCTTATTTTTCCTCTCATGCCATAACATATAACAGAAACCTATCACACAGCAACTTACAAATACAATAAATTACATAAAAATATTCTAGTTCATGTCATTCGGTCCATAAACTCAGTTCTCGCTCCAAGAAAGACGGAAGCAAGAAACATATATGTCTCTGTAGTTAGGATATTCAATATGGCTAGCACAACAGCGCACAGATTCGATACGTCAAACGCCGTATTTCAAATTTCCCCACGAGATCGAACGCGGAATAAGGAAACTGATTTAGGTCAGAGAGCGGCACGACAATGTATTGGCCACCTAAGACGCAAACTGGTAGATGCAAGGAAGCGAATAACACCGTAACTGCCAATGTAACAATAGTAACTTAAGTTTTACGAAGACACGAAACTAATAATGTGATAGATTTAACTATCCGTCATAGCACTTTAGTCAGTTTAGTTATTTTTGCAACCGAATTTTTTTTTGTGAGAAGTTGGCAAGCGAGTTCACCTGATGATAAGCGACAACCGCCGCCCATGGACATTTGCGACACCCTTAGGATTGCAGATGCGTTGCCACCTTTTAATAAAGTGGGCTCCGGCTACCTCACTCACCAGACGAACCGCAGAAGTACTTCCACTTCACGCCGGTATTTTTTTTTATGTGAAAAGTTTCCAAACGAGCAGACGGTTGACCTGATGTTAAGTGAATACCGCCGCCCATAGACATCTGCTACACCCAAGGTTTGCAGATGCGTTGACAACCTTTTTGGAAATTGAAATGGAATTGAAACGGAAACGATTGGAACGGAATTGGAATTTTGGAATTCTGTGAGGCCGTGGTGCTTACATAGACGAGCATGCCCATTCGTGCAACAGCAAAGGCCATTGCGTGGACCTACCACCTCTTAAAAACTACAAAAAGGAGGTTCTCAATTCTGTTGCATTTTTTTTTTTTTTTGTTTTAGTTTTTTTTTTTTTTTTTTAGATATTTCAAATCTCCATCATTTTAAAAGTTACGTTTGCATTGAGTTCGGTTGAGCTCCAATACGGTCTCAAATCCACGTAAATAGAATAAAACTTCACCGATTTTTTAAGCTGGCACGTTTTTCGAACATCCCATATACGGTGACATAAAGTTCACGTGCAGCGTTACACAACTCGACCCTTGAACCTGGCGGTAACACGCAACATTAGCGATGGCCATTAAGTTGTTGTCGCCTCTATTACTTGGGCAATTCAAGTCACGTCTTCGGCCCGTTAACCGCCCCGGGTATAGTGGTGGGACTGCGCTAAGCATCCGGTTTTAACCGTATCCGGCTCGGTACGTGCTCGTTAACGCATTCTTGTAAGAACATCTCTTTTACAATTGAATCTCCAGACACAGACATAACGGTTTTGACGTTGCGTTGAACGGTATGCGTAATTATATGTCGGGAAGCACCGGCTCGATTAGCGGTTCCTTTTGGGTCAGGAATTACGTTAAACAACCTTTTTCCTACACAATGGTAACGTTAGACCAAAAAACGTAAATTAACGTTACAGCCTACATGTCCCACTGCTGTGCAAAAGCCTCCTCTGTACAGATATTAAGGTCTACGCGTTCCTACTGCAGATCGCCAGACTTCACATGTGTTCGAAATATATTTTCTTTATATTTATTTCGAAAATATTGAGGTTTCCTCACTATGTTTATCCATAACCGCTGATTACATGATGAGTTTATTTAACGATTTCATGCTGGCACCGAGTTTGAATTCGGGTTGCTCGAGTAAATTAAATTAAATGCGAGTGCCTGGCCACTGAGCTGTCGCGGCGAAAAAAATTGTTGGTAATCCGAGAAAATTGCTGTGTTGGGGGGCGTTGAAGGTCGGGGTATCTCTTAAGGCCCATTTACACGATGCCATTTTCTTGTACATACAAGAGCAATAATTGAATGCAATAAGTTGCCCGCAATAATTGACCATCAAGAATTGTAAGCGACAGTTTACACGCAGATATAGTAAAAAAAAATGAATGCGATTATTGTATGCAAGTCTTGACAGGAAATAATTGCAAAGGTCTTTTGTTTACACCAATGCAATTATGTTTAGGCGATTATTGCTTTCAAGTTTTGACTTGTCTAAACACATGCTTGTATGTGCGTGTACAATTTATTGGCGTGTTGCTTCAAGTATTGCACGTATTTGCGTTGACAAATTTTTCATGCAAGTCAACACTTTTTACAAAGGACTGTTTTTTTTAAAAAAAATGGCTCAATAATAAGTGTTCAAGTTAGATTATGCCGATTAAATATATTTCATTGAGATTTATTTATTATGATCCATATATTATTATTCATATTTTTATCCAACTTTTTTTACCACCTTTTCTCAATATTTCTATCCTCAAAAGAACAGCAATGATTAAATACCCTCACTCATTGCACAAATTTTTGCCAAGGAAGAGAGAATGCAATTGAATACAAGAATTGCTTAAGAAATTATTGTGTGTGCTGTTTACACCAAGGAAAGTTTTGAAACAAAACTTGAAGCAAGTCTTGTTCAACAGTCAAGAATGTTATGTGCTGTTTAGACAATGCAACTCATTTATTGCTTCAATTTACTTGTATATAATAGGCAAGAAACTTGCACCGTGTAAATGGGCCTTTAACGTAGACTATATGCCAATGTTTTCGATTTTGAAAATGTATATACAGCGATCATCACTTAATCATTGAAATATAAGAGATGAGCCGTGAGATGAAATAGTTTAAATTAACAACGCATAGCGTTCATCTAAATGCAAATTTTATTACTGTTATAAATTATCAACACATTCAAGACAGTCTAGTCACATTTTAAACAACCTCATAATAAATTCCAAAAATGTTTTGGGAAAGTTGTTACATACAATAATAAAAGTAAAATTGGTTAGAGTGCGGTCGACGTAAGATACAGCCAACTTGTATTTCTGGCTGTACCAATCTATTTACCCTACACAAGAAGTGTATGTACGGAAGCACTGCGATGGCTTGCGATGAATTCGAAAGCGATACGACCCAATGCCCCGTATGTACCTAACAGTAATTTTGATTTCGTTGTTTCAAATAAGTAATCGCTCGCCCACGACTTTCGAGCGCAATCCATGAGCAATTATAGTCCCGTCGGAATCAAACCGATGCGCGAATGCACGCTAGACTAATGAGTCAAGGGTGGTTTTTAATTAAAACATTGCCCTTACTCTAGGATAACTTTATTCTGTGTTGTAAGGACGTTTTACAAACATAAATTTCACGCGGACAAACACCCAGATGCGAAAGAAGTATCTGCGTGTCACACAAATAGTTGTCCCGTATGGGAATCGAACCCACGACCCCCGACGCCGAAGCCAATACCTTGGCCACTGCACCACGGAGTCATCATTGAGATTGAAGTTTTGAACATACATACTCGTATTTTGATCAAAAAAAGTATTGTTATATCATACAATGCTAAAACGTTACTCTTTTTTTCTTTACAATAACGGTAACAACTTGTACTTAACGGGTGAAACTCTCTAAACAACCCGTCTTAAAATTGTTTATAAAAGTAATACAGAAATCGTAAAAGATTTTGTATGATCGCTTTATAATGTTATAATGTCGTACTGATAGAGAATCCTATATAATATAATAGAACTCTTTAATAACAATAACTCGAATGAAGCCAGTGAAAATATTGTTTCGAAAATTCACGTAAACGATAAGGAATGCGTCAAATATTAATAGAAATTGATAATTTTAAATGTTCAATATTTTTGTCATAGTTATAAAATGAGAAACACGTTTTGTGTTTGCCATTTCTGCAATAAGTAGGACGCAGTTCAATCTGCAAATCCTCAAATGATGACAAACAATGTGTTTAAGACTTTTCATAACCCCAAAGTATAATCTCTTCCTTTTTTTATGAAGTTAAATGGAAATGAGCCGGTAGTTCACCCGGTGTTAAATGATTAGATGTCTGTAACAACTGTTAGCAAATACCTTGTCAATACGTAAAAGACGTGGCCCCTGTTATCTCACTCAAGCTCGACAAAAAGTACCCCAGTTGGAGTGCGACTATTCGCCAAAGAAAAGAATGAAACTATTAAATGACAACGATTATTGATAAATGGTAATTTGTTAATATCACATGGGAAACTCAAGAACGCTTTACGAATTTTTATGAAGTCTTAGTCAATTGTCGAAATACCGGTCTGGCCAGTTTAGTTGTATAAAAAAAAACTTGTGAAAGACCCTGACCGTTATGACACACCCTCCTGACCCACTGCCTCTATGTTGTTGACACGATTTCGCAATGACCGCTTCTAAAAGGCTACTGAATGATAATAATTCTTAATATTAGCGCCGCTTTGTAAATTTTTCAATATGGTAGTGCTCTCTTAGAAGACGTTATGTTATAAAAATGTTGTTAAATAAAGTCCTACTTCGTTTAAACTTTTTCGTGTCTTAACATTCTAGACATTCTTTCTTCATTATTTTATTACAATATAAAGGATTTACATATAATGTATATGTAAATAAACAATGAACTAGGAACATTGAGAGAAGAGTTCAATATTAAGTATTCAATAGCAAAGGTCGACAGGTATTAGAATATTCATTCGCAACTGCCAGATTTTACCCTAACGAAACCTGAAATAAGGGCTTTGTTATCGAATAATAAATAGATTACGTTTCTGTGGTTTTACTTCGCGTATTAAAAAAAAACTTCGCACTTTTGCTTTAATTTACTTTGACTGATTTTTTTCTTTCAGTCTGTAGACTATGAAAGCTTAACCGAACACCGAGCTCATGGGATAGCCATATGCCACGTACTTGATACGGCCCTGAGCCTTGGGTGGGGTTATGTTATGCGTTATATTATGGGAACGAATATACGAGTCCCACTGCTGGACAAAGGCTTTCTCTATACAGAGGGTATTAGGGCATGAACGATGCCTTCACGCGACCTCCACTGCCGATTGGCAGACTTCCCATATCTGTGAAAATAATTTTATTGTCATTCCCATATTTATACAGGTTTCCTCACGATGTTTTCCTTCACCGCTGAGCACTTAAAGTTAACAATTTAATTGGTGCACCGAGATTTGCAATGTGGTAACTCGATAAAAATCTGAACAAAAACATGACAAAATTCCTTAAATATTTCAATTTAATTCTTAAATAAAATCATTATAGAAATTTAATCGAATTTAATTTTGGTTCTTAATTCCCGACTTATCGAACACTTCATTGCATACCTCATGCCTGTCGTGTGTTGTATCCGTTTCATAATCAACCTGGTCTACCCGCTCTCCGGTCAAGTTCGATCGTATCTGTTTAGCCAATTATTATTTTTTTAATTTAAGAAGGTGGCAAGTGAGCTGCCGTTTCACCTGATTCTAAGTGATAACCGTAGGTTGCAGGTGCGTTCCACCTCTATAATAAAGTGGGCCCCGGCTACCTCACTCACTAGACGAAACGCAGAAGTATAACACTTCCACTTCAGGCCGATCTTCTCTGAGGTCGTGGTACTTCCCCGGACGAACCTTCTCGTTCATGCAGCAGAAGAGACTGTTGCGTGGCCCTACCACAGGTACCCTGAATTTCAATATTTTAAGATATTGTATTGTAATTTTGTAAAATGCAAGAAACCGTTAGTTATTTTACTTTACCTTGTAAATAGTGTAGCATTTCCCGTCAGCGGGCCAGTACAGCATGAGCCACCCGCGTGGATGGTTGGCGCATGGATTCCGCTTGGCGTCCGCCCAGGGTGGTGGCAATACAGCTGCCTGCGTGCCACAGACCAGCGCAGCAAACCACAGCCACGCAGCCATCTTACTCTTTGCTACTCCAATTTCTTTCATATCATCAACTGTTCTCTATCCACTGTGTATCACTTTTTCATGTTCGAAGCTCAAACTGCTACACAAAAATGCTACGCGAAACAATATTTATGTGATTCAACACCACTGTACTTTTTACAGTATTTATGTGAATTAGTCTTTCATCACTGTACTTTTTACGCGTATTTAAAAGTCCACAAACACTACAAAATGGTTTCCTGTCACAGTCGCCGACTCTGCCGTTTAATTTTCGCTTTAAATAAAAACCAACTTCTTTCATATTAATCTATTATAATGAGCGAAGAGTTTATGTAATTAATGTTTGCTCGTATACTTAATTGCTAACATTCTCTTTATTAAGTGTAACTCAATTTGTATTATATGTAATTGTTAGCGCCCATGTTTCTTAGCACTATTTTAAACATTGTTCATTTTAAGGAATACTAGCTAACACTCGCGACTTTATGTGCGTTGTTTATTATATGTATTTTATGTGCTACCCCCCTTGCAAAACTTCTCCACAGCAAGAAAACACAAATCAGTGAACGCGTAGTGTTGTAAAAGCCCTTGATTTTAGGGTTCCGTACCCAAAGGGAATATAGGATCCTATTACTAAGACACCGCTGTCTCTATCTGTCTGTCTATCACCAGACTGTATCTCATGAACCGTCTGTTGCCGCTTTAACAAGAAATACTACAAAATAGAATAAAAAAATATTCAAGTGGTGCTCTCATTCAACAGTTTTTTTGCAGTTTTTATAGATAATGGTATGGAACCGTTCGTCCGCCATTCCGACTCGCACTTTGCCGGTTTTTTAAAACTTAAACAACTTATACGTTAAATAAACATGTAACCATTTTGTTTTAGATGAGGACCAAGGTCTAAGAAATAAATCTTAAAGGAGTTAATTTAAATCTATCTAGTAGTTTTTCCGTGATGCGCCCACAACCGCAGACCTATATAATTTTACTAGCTGTTCGGCAAACGTTGTTTTGTGGAATTTCGTAAAATCCGAACGATAAAAACTACACACCACATTATTTAGTTTTTAAAACTTTCATATTTCTTGTTTTTAAAACCGACTTTATTAAAAATATACAAACTATTATTCAAAAGCAACATTAAGTTTTTAATGAATTCTGTTTTTTCAGAATTTAAAGTTTTTACTACACGCGGCACGCCTTAGCAGACAGCGACGGACAACGGTACCAGATCACAGAGCGCGACGCAAAAGACTCTGCCGCGACGCGTTTAACGCTAATTTTTTCTAGCGTTTATCTAATTCCACCGTAATAGCTTAACGTGGATTACCTAGCCGGGGCGCTAACGGTATACCGCGCGGTTACCGTTTGTTCTCGCCGCCGGCGAGTGTCGAAACTATAATCGCTGGCCCACTTTGTGAAATCACTCGCAAACGGCAAAGAACATTTCTAAACATAAGCAGTTAGCGGGTGACCGATAAACTAAATGACGGTTTGGCATTTTAATAATTTGCGGCACGATCCGATAGCGAAAACTACGAAACGCTTGGTGCGAATTTGAATATCTTATCTTAGTAGGCAATGAATACTAAATCTTATTCGCGTCTTGCCCCGCTTCGTTATACTCGAACGGCTTTAACGAAATTAAAGTCTTTCGTGCGATGATCTCTTTACAAGCCGTTTCTATTCAAAATCTGTACAATGTAAAATCTTCTTTATTCTGCCTCTTCTTCGTCATAATAGATGTTTGCGTCAGTAGACATTTCAGTCCGTAGACAATAGAAAGCTTCAACGGACATGGGTGCAGTAAAAAAAGGATAGGATTTCTGACTGTTGGTCGTCGAGGTCTGGTGTGGCTCTACCACCCTTAAGTTCAATCAGTTGTTAGTTCAATCGCTGGGACGGTGAGAACCGCCCCGGGACCTGATTGTACCTTGTGCACGCGATGGGTTGGTTTCCCAGTACACAAGCACTGGGCGAGGACATGCTACAGTATGTTGTACATTAACGTAGCTACGTGTGTGTGTGTGTGTGTGTGTGTGTAGTATCGCCCGACGGAACCCAGGTTGGGTGAGAAATAATGTCCCCTTCCCACCGGGTCGATGAGGAAGCTACGCGGGACGCTAGCACACGGTCGCTGTTAATAATTATATGAGAAAGTGGCAAGCGAGCTGGCTGATGGTAAGTGGTAACCGCCGCCCATGAACATTTGGAACACCCGTAGGTGTGCAAATGTGTTACCACCCTTAAATAAAGTGGGCCCCGGCTACCTCACTCACCAGACGAAACGCAGAAGTGTAACACTTCTACTTTACGCCGGTCTTCTGTGCGGTCGTGGTACTTACCCGGACGGACCTGCCCATTCGTGCAACAGTGAATACTGGTGCGTGGTCCTACCACAGTTGAAATTCGGGTGCAATACGGGTGAATTTAATTTGCAATACCTGAAGTTTTAAGTAACTTCTTTCCCAACTGCCTTTATCCCACCTAGTTGCAATGTAGAACCATTTACGTGATAGTTAACATAAAACTGCGCTGAAATCAAATACCCTGTAGAAAATAATAACATTATAAAAGAAGATTCTCACGCTTGATCATCGTAGCTGAGATCGTCACGCCTATACCGGTTTTTGTTGGGAGCACTAAGCTCGAAGTTGTTGACGAGTAAATTTACCTAGGACAGTTAGTCTGATTAGGTAAATCCAACATTGATGCAGAGGTCAATCGCCAACTCGGATGTGCAGCGTTCGGGAAACTTCGGCATATCTTCTCGTCTAATCCCTCACTGTTTGAAGACAAAATTCTTCGATCAATGTGTGTTGCCAGTGATCACCTACGGAACCGAAGCGTGGTCCTTCACTGCTGACCGTATGAGGAAGCTCAAAGTCGCTCAGCGAGTTATGGAGCAGGCTATTCTCGGTATTTCTATGCGTGATAGAGTTCGTAACGAAGACATCCGCAGTAGAACCAAAGTAACCGACATAGCTCAGAAGAATAATGAGTAATGTAATAAGTACGTTTTAAACAGATTTAATAAGCATAAAAGCTGTTACATGTCAAAGCAAGTCATTAAAATATGTCATCTAAGCCTTAGAAATTAAAACAAACAAATAGACGCTATCGCTTTATATTATAAAGCTTATGTAATTAAAACAAGCACAAGTTCACTGCGACCGTACAATACGGAAGTTTGATTGTTTCGACACCGCTTTAAGAATTCTAAGCGAGTACCGACCGAAGCGCAGACATCAAGAAACAGATACAAAATGCTATTACGTCAAAGTCGTGAGATTGAGCTCACCGATGCTGTTTTTTTTTTTAAATCCAGTGAATAAGTTCTCATGCACGAGAGCCAAATCATAGTACACATTTCATTTTTTACCCATAAATAACTGGGGCAAATGCGAATTGGTCTTGCGCTATTTCGTTTCTTAGGCGAAGATTACAAAATGTAATTAGCAAGCTGTTAAATTGTTCGATTATTAAAATAACATACTAGTGTATACTATTGCGTATTTCTTAAATAAGATGAAGGTTTAGTTTATTTACGCCGTATTCATTTTATCAAAACATTTTCCACGATGATACTTTAGACTACGTACACAAATATTTTTTCATAACTAATTTATGTGAGCTAAAAAACAAACTGACCAAAAAAAACAGATTACTGCTGCTAATTGCACGTGTAACAAGAAACAATAAAGAACTTTAACAGAAATTTTAACTGTGGCAGGGCCACGCCGCAGCATCGGCTGTCGCACGAATGGGCAGGCTCGTCCGGGTAAGTACCACGACCTCACAGAAGATCGGCGTAAATTGGAAGTATAACAAATACTTTCGAGTTTCGCCAGGTGAGTGAGGTAGCTGGAGTCCAATCTTCAAAAGATTGTCAACCTATCTGTAACCCTCGGGCGTAGCTCCATTCACTTAACATTTCGCACATTTAACATTTTGCACACTTAACATTTATACTTGGAATTTTGAGCCCCATTTAAATATGTTTTTCAGTATTTGTTTTTATAGCGGCAAGAGAAATACATCATCTGTGAAAACTTCAACTATGTCGGTTCATGAAATACAGCCTGACAACAGACAGACAGACAGTGAAGTCTTAGTAATAGGGTCCAAACTGGGGACCAGTTACTAAGACTTGAGTTGACTTTGAGTACAGACCCTAAAAACTTAAGTCAAATCGGCTGTTAAGCCATGAGTACTATTTAGTTGAACATAAAACGGTCTACAAAATTAATTCGGCGAGTGAAGCACAAAAGAGCAATCCGAATAAAAATTAATTCCGCGGCGAAATGGATAATATAAGACTGTGAAAGAAAATTCCCTCTCTCGTTTTAAATTTCAACCAAACTGTGTTAAGATTTTTTCGAGTGGCAACAGTTAAATAATAGCTGTACTTGTTACAAAAGAACAGTTGGATAATATCTTTTGTCATTCGAGTTTTAATGTTAATGACTTTGAGTGGCTTCTGCTTGCCGAGTTCGCTTTTGTAATACTCTCCAGTTTTTGCAACTGTTTCAGTTGTTACGGAAGACTTATTCTAAGCCCAATTTGTAGTTTTAAACTTGAAACTTTAAAAGGTTTGTTAAATAGTATAGATTAAAAGGCGCTTTCTTTTAAGCTTTTGTTTTCAAATATTACTTTTGTTAACAGCTTTAACTAAATATGATAAATTAGGCAGTTAAACTTTGAAATCGGAACAACCTACTCTTTCAATATTAAGTAGGTAAAAACGCAAGATAAAGGAGGTTCAGAGGATTACTACTTCTCTCATAAATCCATTAACATAACGACAGCTTTAGATAATTTATATGACATTAATGGGTATTTGGCGTCCTAATAAAGAGCTTACGCAAAAACCAAGGTTGAAAAAAAGCTTCGTATCTATTTTTCTAAGTCATAGAAATATTATTAAACACAACTATTCAAGTCCCTATCCAAAGGCCCTTTAATATCAAGGGGAAAATTTTCGAAAAATACTCTACCACCAGGGGGAC